ATTTAATTTATACCCCGCCTATCTGGCCCACCGGACCACTCTAGGCGGCTTTTTTGAAATGGTCTTCAATTAAACCAGCCCCTGGTGTCAAAACGGTTGGGGACCACTGCTTTAAAAAAACCTCCAGTTTATGAATTATAGAATCATTAAAATGTTAAGTTGGAAGGGGTCTATAAGGCCATCAAGTCCAACCCCCTGCTCAATGGAGGAATACAATCAAAGCATATCTGCCTGGTGCTTATCTAAGTTTTTCTTGAATGCCTCGAGTGTTGGAGCACCCTCCAACTCCTGAGGTCACTGGTTCCACTGTTGTACTGCTCTAACAGTTAGGATGTTTTTTCCTGATATTCAACCAATACCTGGCTTCCTGTAACTTAAGCCCATTGTTGCCTGCCCTGCACTCTGGGATGAAAAGAACACATCCTGCCCCTCCTCTGATGGACAGCCTTTTAAGTATTTGACAAGTGTTATTGTATCACCCCTCTGTCTTCTTTTCTCAAGGCTAAACATGCCCAGTTCTTTCAGTCTTTCCTCATAGGGCTTGGTTTCCAGCCCCCTTATCATCCTTGTTGCCCTTCTCTGAACTTGTTCCATGCAGCATAAAATAGCATTTGCCTTTTTTGTAGCCACATCACACTCTTGGCTCATATTTAGTTCGTGATATGTGACAATTCTAAGATCCTTCTCACTCGTTGTTTTGCTGAGTCAGGTATCCCCCATCATGTAACTGTGCAACTGGTTTCTTTTTCCAAGGTGCAGAATTTTGCATTTATCCCTGTTGAATTTCATTCCTTTACTTTCGTCCCAGTGCTCCACCCTATCAAGGTTATTTTGAAATTTGTTCCTCTCTTCTAGGGTATTAGCTATTCCACCCAATTTTGTATCATCTGCAAATTTTACAAGCATCCCCTGCACTTCCTCATTCAAGTCATTAATAAAACTATTGAAGAGCACCGTTCCCAGAACTAAGCCTAGGGGTACCCCACCTGTTACCTCTTCCCAGTTAGAGAAGGACCCCATTAATCATCACCCTCTGAGTACGATTCTGTAGCCAATTGTGTATCCACCTGACACTACATCCATCTAGCCCACACCTAGTTAGCTTGCTAATCAGGATATCATGGGGCACTTTGTCAAAAGCTTTGCTGAAGTCAAGATATACTACGTATATAGCATTCCCTCTGTATATCAGGGAGGTTACGTGATCAAAAAAGGAGATCAAATTAGTTTGGCAGGATTTGTTCTTGACAAATCCATGTTGGTTTCTAGTTACAGTGGACCCTCGACGTATACTCGGCTTGACGTGCGTACTTTTCGAGGCACGGACTTCTCCGGCCACAAGATTTCCATTTGACTTGCGGCCGGAGAATCGACCTTCGGACCAGATGAGGAAGGCGGGGAAAACGCCAAATTCAAATTTGGCGCTTTCCCCACCTCTTCCTTCCAGTCCGTAGGCTGCCAATCTGCCTCCAGATGCTTTCCAGGGCTTCTCCACCGCCATGGGAGGCATCTTGGAGGTCCCCACCCGCCGCCGATTGTGCCTCCGAAGCACGATCGACGGTGGGGGGGGACCTCCGAGATGCCTCCCATGATGGCGGAGAAGGCCTGGAAGACATCCGGAGGTGCTGCCGCTGTTGGGAGCCGAGCTGCGCCGGGCAGCGGTGGGGGGGAGAAGCCAGGAGTCCGAGCATGGCTGGGATTGCCTGGTGCGGCACGGCTCCCAGCGGTGGCGGGGGGCCTCCAGATGCCTTCCAGGGCTTCTCCGCTGCCATGGGAGGCATCTTGGAGGTCCAACCCGCTGCCGATAGTGCCTCCGAAGCATGATCGGCAGTGGGGGCAACCTCCGAGATGCCTCCCATGGCAGTGGGGAAGGCCTCCAGAGGTTCCCCCCTCGCCAATGCAGGCTTTCCCAGGGTGGACCAGGCCTACCAGGGGAGGGCTTCCCCCAGTAGGTTCGGTCTACTTCCCGGGAAAGCCTGGTAGACCGGGCCTACCAGGGGAGGGCTTCTCCCGGTAGATCTGGTCTACTGCCTGGGAAAGCCTGTGGAATAGACCAGGCCTACCAGGGAAGCCCCCCCCCCCCGTAGGCCCGGTCTACCAGAGCCAGGGATCATTGCACAAAAATGACCAGCTAACGACACCCATCAGTCACAGTGACCGATAACCCTTTATCACAACAAAAACATGCTGACCACCCTATCTCCTGAAAAAAGACAAAAGCTGCTCCCACAGCTATAAATACTCAACTATCCAACAAACAGCAACAGAGCACGGACAGAGTTCCTACTCCAGTCCTCTGAAGATGCCGGCCACAGAGACTGGCGAAACGTCAGGAAGAACAACCTTCAGAACACGGCCAAAGAGCCCAAAAAAACCCACAACAACCATCAGATCCCAGCCGTGAAAGCCTTCAAGAATATATTCTTGACTATTTGTTTATCAATCTCCAGCTGCAATCCCATCCCCTCCACTTGCACTTCACATTTTTCTGGAGGTTCATAGTCAATCCTATAGGAAAAAAAGACCAAATTACAATTGGAATTGAGCACCTCTGCTTTTTCTTTATCATCTCTTGTCATTTTTCCATCTCCATTGAGTACCTTTGCCACTATTTCTTTGTCTTTTGCTTCACCCGCACATGAAGAATGGTTTTTATTGCTTTTTTGCATGGTGGATATTATAAACTTGGCTTACCAAATAGCAAAGAAATCAGTGCTCGGAACTTTGAAGGGGCATTCAACTAGAGCAATTACTGCTTTTATGGCATTCCATAAAGGTGTTCAGCTGAGAAACATTTGTAAGGCAGCCCCTGACATTCATCAGAGATTTTAGGTTGAACGTCAGAGCAAAACAAGGTACTTCTATTGGTAGAGCAGTTATTTCTTCTGTTTTGGTGTGACATCCAACCAGCTGGTAAGTAAGTTTGCCAGTCACCCTTATGTGTGATTCACAGAGATGATGAAGAAGGAGGTTGCTTACCTGGAAAAATAGTTCTTCAAGTTGTCATCTGTGAATTCACACAACCCTTCCATTCTTCCCTCAGTTTGTTGCACAGGTGCACATTTTATTAGGAGTGCACTGAGGACTAGCAGCCAGATGAGGAGTATGTGTAGTGGAAGGAGTATGACTTAGCAACCTTTTTCAGGCTCGAAATATTTCAAATGTCTCCATGCAGGACAATCCCAAAGGGGTGAATTCATAGATGATCACTTGAAGAACTACAATTACATGTAAGCAACCTGTTCTTATATTCTCTTGGTGGAAGTGTGTATCTGTGAGTATAGGGGCTGAAATGTTAACTGTGTGGACAAAAAGCCTTGAAATGCAAAAGTTCTGCTATGTTTATGGTATTTCTGTTTAAGGGTTAGTTATAAACAAATTAAGAAGTGGTCCAGTCAGAACACCAGTAGTAGAGGATGCAACTTCTGCAGTAGAGTTTGTGGGGAGCTGTATCTCTAATTTTTGCAGCTATAGTTCCCAGTATCCTCAAGTCACAGTGATCAGCAAAATATTGCTTAGGGATTCTGGAGGTCACAGCCAGAACCAATGAGCTGTAGAAAAATAAGTATGACACTTGAAGCAAAAAACAATAAACTGGAGAAAACTAAATTAATACCTGCAGCGTAGGCTTGAGTGATTTTTCAGAATCTTTCATTCTAGTTGTTTCCACATTTTAAGTCAGTTTGGTAGCAAAAGAACCTCTGAAGTAGATTAATGTGGGAAAATTATGTATGTAAAAATGGGAAGAATATATTCAGATTTTTGCTGCATAGTATTTAACAGCCTGAGTTCTGTGGTCCAGATCTGACATGTGCATGTCAGTAGTTATGAGATTTATTGGCTCTGGAAACAGGATCAGGTGCAAGAACACTTTGTTTTAATCCTTTTTCAGGTCGATATTCCACTGAACAAATGGGTAGAAGCAATGCCTTTGCACTATGATGTATTCTTGGAAGATGCTGACACAGAAGCACTTGAAGAAATTTGCTTATACAAGATTCTATAGCACAAAGATGTTAAGACATTCAAACTGTTTCAAATTATGGATCTACAGTTCTTCAGTGACTCCAGTGTGAAGGGAGCAACCATTTGTGTCACAGAAAATAATGCCAAAAATCATGAACATATTCTTGGTTATGTAAAAGTTTAAAAAAAACAAATATGTTTGATATATTTCTTGTGAAGATTATGAAGTACTGTTATTCGTAGTTAGAGAATGAGAAATTCTGCAGGTACCACACTCAAAAAGACATTTCTCCTTTTTGGGGAGTAGAATTATTTTCAGTTTTTCCTCTTGTGTAAATTTATGCTACACACAACAGATGATTCTTTGTGTTGTGTCTTTGTTGCCCGGTGGGGTGCTGCTGTCTTAAGAGAGATACCTCTTTCTGTGTTTTTTTTCTATTGTCATTTAGACCAAAGTTAAAGGTGATTGTTTTCATCTAACTTTTCCCTTTACTCAGTGTCTGATTGCTGTCAAGTGTAGGTGGTTTTTTAACCACCCTGCTTCAGTAGTGTGCTCTCCCCACCCCCACCCTGCTTCAAGAAAAGCAGAGGAGAAAAGCCTAGGAGGCATGCACTCGCATGCAAGAACAAACAAGACATGCATTCTCAGCAAGAAGAAAAATAGTAAAATAGTATTAATTAGCAGAGCTTTGTGAAGATACGGAGAAAGGACTCTCATGTGAAACATCTGATAGGTGTGTAAATTACAGTATATATTTTCACCCATGAGCAGCTTGGGTACTTTCCAGGATAGGCTAGGGTAAAGAAGCCTCTTCCCCAGCCAGCACAGAAGGAAAGCTATGTGGAAGATACCTGTGGAAGTAGGAGGTGTGATGGAGGGAGAAGTGTTGATGTCGATTGTGAGCCCAGACCCTGGACTCGATAGCAGTATCTCTGCCCATTGGCATAAAACTCCCAGTCGCCAATAATGCCACCTGCAAACCTAGTGGGTAAAAATATTCCCCAACCCTGTGTTAAACAAATGCTCTTGTTCTTTTAATGGTAAGCCTTTAAAATAAAGCAGAATAATTCCTTTATCCCAGCTGTGCGAAAGTGCTTCATAATTCATGGGGGGGGGAGTTATTTTAAACTTCTTAAGTACTAGCCCAAAAAGGCGGTAGTGGGGAGCCAGTGATATGGGATGTCTATAGTACATTCTGATTTCTGTGTCTTATTTTTGAAGCAAAGTGTTACCTACACTTTTAGAGTCGCGGGGAACATTAAATGTCCTTTGGATTGCTGATCAACACTTTCATCATACTTTTTCCTGTGCAAGGAAGCCCCATACAAGGAAGTCTTGTAAGTCCACAACCATTCTTAACTTGCCTCAGATTTTACTGAACACTCCTATTGCTTACTGTAAAGGTAGCAGGCCACTCTGACGTCACTGCCAACTCAGGCCTCTCAGAGTGCCCACCACACCACTTCACACTCGCTGCCACCAATTATAATGACTATTTAAGAAGGACAAAGGTTTCCTTCAAAACAAAACAGGTTTATTGGTACACAAAATAAAATATGTAAATCACAGGTAGCTAATCAAGGTGTAAATCACTGTTGGAATTGATATTTTTAGTTGCAATTATTTTTGTTTTTTTTATTAAACATGGTATACATAATGCTGTTTTATTTTAATGCTGTTGTACCAGAATTGCAGACACCCTAGAGCTCTTATTTATTTCTGTACCCCTTTGGGTGGATTTTCTTTTTTTGCTTGCACATCTATCCCCTATGAAAGAGCCATTCTTGCTCATTTCTCTGCTCTTCTGCATCCACCTTTGGAGGACCATTGATATTAATACTGTATGTTAGGGTAGAATTATATTCTGATCGATCTGTTTTAATTTGTTTTCTTCACCTCATTAAAAATCTGTTTTTATGCTCATGTGGGGAGGACACAGATTATTTGGATAAGGTTGCAACTAAAACAAGCTTGTGAAACACTGTTCTAAGTGCTCCTATTAATGAGGCCCAGTTCCTGAATCCTAGCTGCCCAGAGTAGACTTCGGTCTAGATCGACGGGGTATAAATTAAATAAATAAATAAATAAAGCAACAAAGCAATAAAATACATATGCATAATCTTATTTTCAGTAAATTAACATAGAACTTAGACTTTTAAAAAATCATATATATACACAGAGTGGTTAGCATTGCAGACCACCATCTTTCACTTGCTTCCTACAATTTCTTTTCTTGCTTCCTTGTATTCTCATTTTCATTTACATTTAGCAAAATCCTGCCAGTATAGCTTTGTGCTTATGTAACCCAGATCAGGTGCTGGAAACAATTACTGTACTTTAAATTCATTGAAAGTTTTCTATCCCATCCACCTCTTTCAGGTTCTGAAGCTGCCTAGGACTTCCCTGGGAAGCCTTTGTGAGCCTCGACCCTGGTTTATGGGGGCGGGAGAATCTAATAAAATAAAAAATATATTTAAATATATTTTAAAAACAATAAATATTATCTGTAATAATAATAAAAATAATTTTTAAAACGGCTGCCTGATTGCTGCTGGTGGCAATGCAGTGATTTTTTTTTTTACTACTAAAAGCTCCCTGCCCCATATCCTAAGGTTCCCAAAGACTCTCCCAGGGCAAAAGGGAGCTCTAGGGAGCTTCAGAACCTGAAACGGGGGTTTGGTGGAGGAATAGGAAATTTTCTATGAGTTTAAATTAAATGTTTCTGGTGCCTGATCTGAGTTATGCCAGCACAAAGTTAGGTCAACAGGGTTTTGTCCAGTATTTATTTTCTTACTAAGTTCTTTGGATAATGCTTGTTCCATCTGCAAGATCAGTCGTCTATTTATAGAGTTAGTCTTGAAACAAATTTCTGGGTAAGTCAGTTGTTTATTACAATTCTGTCCCACATTTCCACTAAAGATGATGCTGATGCTTACAAATACAATTAAAAACAAATTGAAAAATAAAACTATTACGGCACCAAAATAGTCAAACTATTTAAAAAATACAATATTCAGTAAACATTCAACAGTTTGACAGGCCAGTTTTGAAGAGGTGTGTGTTCACAGTCTTTCTAAAAGCAGCAATATTGGAAGCTGATCAGAATTGCTTGGTTGTAGCCTAGTAATCTGTAAATCTTGTACACTTTTTTATTTTATTAAACTGAATTTGAAAGTATGTAATGTTTATTTTCTATTTATGAAGAACTATGTAAGTAGCTGTTAAATTCTGCCTGTGTGTATAGTTTACACACTGAGAAAGAATACAGTGTTGACAAAAAGTTGATCTGCTAAATTCATTAAAATGAAGAAATGGGTTTTACACTCAAGCCAAAGAGGATGTCATGAAAGCTGAAAGCAATGCTGTCAAGAGGCTAGACTTTGTAATGAGTTTGGACTCCTAGTAGGATCACCCAAAGTGCAATGATCAAAAATGTAACACCAGGTGAGGATGCATCCACCCCTTCAAGAGTAACAGTCATGTCATCAGAAGAGAATTGAAAGTTTCAGTGGTGATGGGGGCAGAAAAAGTCCTGGCGGGCAAATGCCGGACAGCAACAGTAGTGGAATGTGATGCTGGTTAAGTATTTTTCATGGACAAGGGCAGTAACATTCAAACTAACTTTTGTCAGTACTATGAAGAAGGCAGCAATGGTAAACCGCTGCTGAATGTTTCTTACCTTGAAAACCCTGTGATGAGACCATCCAAAATGAAGCAGCTAACTGGGTTGGGCTCAAACAGCATTAAAAATTCCTTTCTTACTACCATCCAGGTGCCTCTGTTGTGCCCACAGCTGCTTTTAATAAATGCAAAAGATATGAAGAGATTCATTCTTAAGTCACGCATGGTACATTTTGTTTGGTACTTGTGTAATCACCCAAACTATATACTGTAATGACATTCAAAACTTAACTAAGATAGCATGTGATTCATATAATTTTAGTAATAAATGACAAGACCACAATTAAAACAACTAATCACACTGCTTTTTTATTATTATTTTTTATTCCCTAAAAATAAAACATACCAAAAAACAGACACACCCAATTTGGAATGACTTAAGTCCTGTTCAACAGGTATTTCTTGTGTTCATTAGAATTGCCACTAGATGGCAGTGAAGACATTAAAAGCCCAATAAGGCACTGATATCTTTTGTTTTCAAATTTAATGTGTGAAAATGGCTTCAGGGTTTGCTAATCTTCTAAGGTTGCAATCCTACATGTACTGACATGGGAGTAGGCCTCATTGGATTTGACCGTGTTTGTTTCTTAGTTATGTGTAGATTTACAATAAAGCAGACATTCCACAGTTTTTGGAACACCTGTTAAGAAAGGAAGATTAGACCTCTGCATTTCTTTTCTAACCATGGAAGAAAAATTATCTTTGCTCTTCTGTAGACAGATATTTAGCCCATCAACATGTAAAAATCCATGGGGATAAATTAAGGAAGAAGACTATCAATAGTATTGCAGCTGAACTATATTCTACAGCACCAAAGGCAGGCTCTGACTTAATGTTTTGGTTTACAACCGCCACCCACAATTTCCCAAAACGTATGACTACTGTGACTCACAATGATAGCTGTGACTGATGCTGTAAATTGACATCTTTACATCACTAAGCAAGTCCAGAAGAGAATGAAGGTGGGAGAAGAAAAAGCATAAGTCAGAAGAGAACAAAGAACACTGGGAGGGGTCAGCAGAAGTCGGGGGGGGGTGTATCAGGTACATCATAGGGAGAAGAGACAGGAGAGCAAGAGAGAGGATGTGCCTGACGAAGAGGTCAGAAGAAAAGCAGAGGTTTCATCTACAAAGTGTAAAAATTCTCAAAGAACCAAAACCCTACTTTAATACTGCAGCTAGAAGGAAAATTGAAATGGCTTGCTTTACCACCATTGCCACGGAACCAATTAGGTTGGAAGTACAGGAGTTTGTTGTATGTTGGATGCTGAAGAGTACAATGAGGAGGATGGTGCTGAATTCATGACCAGCTTTTGTGCTGGGCTTCTTACAAACATCCAGTAGGAACAGGCTGCCAGACTAGAGAGGACTTTGATCTGATCTGGTGAAACTGGAGATGAAAATTGAGAAAAGAGTTGACTGTTGGCTGGAAATCTCTCAGTCAACAGAAAGTGATTTCTTCCTTTATGAATGCACATTTGGGGTTTAGATTTGGACAGAGAGATAAACAGCCTCTGGTTTTTTTTTAGTTGGAGTTGGCTAAATCTATCCACCAGGAAACAGTTGCTCATGTCAGGTATAATATGATGCAGGATTAGTATTTTTAGTGTCTCATGTAGAAGGCTCAACACTCCTCAAATGTTTGCTTATACATAGCTATATATTTATTTGCAAATACATAATTATAAACAGAAACTGGCTGAAATCCTGTTGCGTAACGTATGCAAAGTCAAAAGTTTCAGATCAATCCGTGCTGATAAATAAAGAGCCCACACCGCAGTTCTCAGGAGCACACATGCACACACACCAAGCCAGTGTGCATGCCTGTCTCTGAGAATTGTGAGAATTCCTTAACTCCCAGCAAGGAACAGATAGAAACATACAGTTTTGCTTATGTATGCAACAGGATTTCAGCTATTGAAGCAATAATCATTATCCAGTACATCTGTTCTTTCAAAGGAAACTAAACACATGGTTCTGGCGCAGTGAAGAATAATTTTCAAAGAATAATTGAGGTCTAATTGGATCTTTCTTCTAAGCTGTCATCGTTTTAAATTTTTATAAACCAGGAGTTCATGAGACACGGGATCCCAGGTTCTTCCAATGCTGCTCTGAAATGTCACTGTGCTGGTTGGTCTAAGGCAGAGGTGGGCAGAGAGCAGACTGGGATCAGCTGATGCTTCTGGATGACTGATTGACTGACTGACTGACTGAATTAGAAGGACTCCAGTTAGATTACAAATGATTTAAAAACACTGGCATATTATGAAAAGATTTTAACATTTGTAACAAATGTTACTATTAGATTATTAAAATTCAGATATCTAGGAACAACTAGGAATGGAGTTTTGGGTGGAAACAATGTGGGCCTCTGCTCAGTTCATGTACTGTACTTAAGTCAAACTCCTCTGTCTCAGCAGCCATGTAAACATATCATTTAAACTTTATTAAGTGTACATCTTCAGGGTTAGGCTCTATTTCTTAGATCCTGAGGTTCCATTTCTAATAAAACACAAATTAGATCCTACTAGACTGAAGACTGTCCTCACCTGGTCTGAAACAGTGGCTTTAAAACTATAGTCTGAGGAGCCTTAATATTCCATGGAAAAGCTATCAGGTTCTTCAGTGAAAAATTCAATAATGGCAGAAATTACACCCAGACAAGAAAATGTTTTACCACCAGCACTGATCATCCCTGTAATGTTGGGGCCCTTGGGACCATGATCGCCAGGGTATTCTGGGAATTGCAGTCCAAAACTAGCCTTTCTCATCTCTGCTAGCATGTACTTCAATTTTTTTCTGCAACATGTAAGGAGTATGTGTCAAATGCTCAGTGATTCATTGGTAGACTCCAATATGGAAAGTATTTACTGAAAGTAGAAAATCTAAAAAAGAATGGTCTACGTCAGTGGTTCCCTAATTTGTCTCTGCATATGTTAAAGTATGCCTCCCAGAATCTATAATCATGCTACCTAGGGATTATGGAAGCCTGAGTTTGACAATGCTGTATCTGGAGATTTATGTTTCGTGATGACCAGTCCAGATCTTTATTTATTTATACTTGACTAATCTAGAGTATGGCAAATGAGAATGGACTCATTACTCACCTTTCTCTTCATACTCTGATCAATGACACTGATTTAATACAATATAATCTGTGGATTTCAGATAGTTTGCAGATCGCTCATTCATAGGGTTGCCATAAAATAACATTTAATGGCAAAAAAGACAAAAACATGTGGCACCTTAGAGACTAGCTGTTATATTTAAGCTTTTATGAGCACGCCCACTTCATCAGATATGGAAACAGCATGAAATGTTGAATGAAATATCAGTTTAACAAATAAAACATTCTAAATATTAATTGGCTCTTGGTATGGTACATCTACATGGCTTTTTTTAAATGGCCTGTGTTATTTTAGGGTACTGTTGTAAACTATCCTCCAGGAGACAGAAAACAGGTTCTTTTAATTATTTTATTGATATTGTACATTTAATTTTTTTATTTTTTAAATTGCTTTTTAACACAAGAGTTTCCATACTACCATTTAATTGTGCTTTAATGTTGTAACTTTTTGTCTGCATCTGCTTTTCTCTGTACCTATTTTTAATCTTCTTGTCAGCTGCTTGAGTCCGAGTCCTAAAAGGACAAGACAGAAGATGAATGAATGAATGATAGTGAGATAATTTTCTTTGTCTTGCAAATTATCTCATCTTTGTATTTTAAGTAATATATGATAAAAGCTTTCATGTTGCAGAATCCACTTTGGAAAATGCTCTGTCACCAAAGTTATCTATGGGCCATTCCTAACTTATAGCTATTGTTTAACGATTTGGCTTAATTCTATTTTTTTTAAGTGCAAAAAATTGATAGGTATTTCTTCTGAGTAGAGAGTAGAATTTTTTGTTCCACTTATTTGGAGGAAGAAGGGTCTGTTGTTTTTACTGTTGTCATATCTGTCTTACAGCAAGTCTATAAATTAATGACCTCCAAAAGATCCTATAATTTCCTTGCTGCCTTCACCTTTCCCAGATTATGATCTCTTCGGTTGAATCCTGTCTTCTCATGATGTGCCCGAAGTATTACAGCCTCAGTTGAGTCATTTTTGCTTATAGATACAAGTTAACTTTTAAGTTCTTTAGGTATATTTAGTACAAAAAGGGCACATTTCTTATAGAAAGAATCGTATTTCTGAGTTTCAAAAGTAATTAATTTTTCTATGATGAGCGAAGTCTAGGAAGGTGTGGCCATTTTTATTTTAATGGCCAATAGTTTAAATGAAAGGTCACACTTTACCATAGGGTATATAATTGTTGATTCTCCACTTTAACTGTTCTCACATTTTAAAAATATGTTTTTGGATTTGGTGCTTGCTATAGTAACCTTTTCAGATGACTTGTGATGGGGTGTTGTGGAATGGAAGATGAAACAATACTGACAGTGTGCTCTTGTTCTTGTTGAATACTGCCATAGCATAATAGCTTAAAATGTACTGTAGTAACTAGTACAGTACTGATGTTAGATCTGTGTAGAACATGAAAAAGGTCCATTAACTTCAGGTTACCTAGTCTTTGCTGTGAGTAGGTGATAATTTTCTTGCGGATGTGCAATGCCTTCAAAGAACAGTGATAGGAATATATATATCTTACAGTTTTTTAAAAAATTCTCTTCTCTGAATAGGGTTTTTTTTTAAGCATACAAGAAGTATATTTTACCAGCAAGCCAACAGGCCAACTGAGTATCAGGCCTGACGAAGGTCTACAGGCGTGGCTTCCAAGAGCCTCAACACAGGCCACAGATCTTTGGGGCTGCTAATTCAAAAATGGAGGATGAGTGCCTCATTCATTAATTAATAATGCAGCTTTCTGTCTTCCTGTGTGTCACAAGCTGGAAAGGCAGTGATCGGCCAATAAAGATGTAGGGGAAAGAAGTCAAAGGCTCCTCCCAACAGCTCTTCCTCATTGAGAGCTGAAGTAATAGATCAAAAACTTCCGAAGATCAGGAGGCAAAGAAAAGAACACGAAAGGGTCAAGGAAGATTTAAAAGAAAAGAAAAGAAACGCGCGGAGCCTAATTAAATACTCGCCGGGCGTTGGAAAGAACACGCGCGTTACAAATCAGGTAGGAGGGGATGGGACAACCTTGACGTCTTTCTAGAAGGCCGGTCTGCCTTACAGATCTGAGGAGTACTGAAAAAGACACCCTCCTTATCCCTCATGACAGGAGGGAGCTCATCAAACATCCTCCCAGCTGGAGGGGATCCCTCATTAAACATCAAAAGGCGTGTGGGGGGGGGAAGAGGAGGAGAGTCCCGACAGTAGCTGGACAGGAAAGGAGATAAGACCTGCCCTCCTTCCTTTCCCTACCCTTCCCTGTTTGTTGTTTAGTATTTTGGAGGCAGGGAAGAGAAAGAGGTGCGTGGCTCGGCAGGCGGAGGTCAGAGAGGGCAGACCCCCGTCGGTAGACGAGAAGGGGGTGTCGTCGTCGTCCGAAGCGTGGCCTTGGAGACGCGCGGGGGGGGAAGGGAAATCCCCTGGTCTGTGGAGCACGTTGTTGGGGGGGAGGAGGAGGAGGGAGGGAGGGAACAGGCGCTGTTGCCGCCGCCGCCTCCTGCTGTTCGGCGTCATGGCCCCATTGTGAGGCGGCCTAGAGGAGGGAGGGGGAGAGAAGCGAGGGAGAGAAAAAAAGAGGAAAGATCCGCTCGCTCGCTCGCTCACACACAAGAGCGACTCACTCCATGCTCGGCAAGAAAGCGGCGTGTCAGGCGCTGACACACACAAAAGGAGCCACCAGGTCGACCCAGCTCTTTGCCTTGCTTGAACGTCCTTCTTTCTCTCTCTCCCCCCCGCTCCCCAAAATATTCCGGTTAGAAACGGGACCCAGGCGATGCCGCTGTTACACCGAAAGCCTTTCGTGAGGGAGAAACCCCCCGCGGACCTGCGACCCGACGAATATGTCTTCCACTGCAGGGTCACCAACGAGATCTTCAGGGACTATGAGTAAGAAAGAGGCGCTACTTTTTCCTCCCTCCCTCTCTCTCTCTCCCCCTCCCCCCGCCGCCCTTCACCCTCCCAACTGCGCGCACCCCTTCCTCGTGGGCTCTGGCGGGCTCGTTTGAATGGGAAAGCGCGGCGGCAAACGGCTGACACCTGGCCGAGGAAGGGAATCCCCTCTTGGACAGGCCAGGGAAATCCCTCAGCCGTCCCTCTCGCTCGCTCGCTCTCTGCCCCTCAGCCGAGGGTCAAAGGGGAGGGGGTTGGCCGGCCGGCCGGCCCGGTTTCTTTAGCGTGGCCTCTTCCCGGAAAGGGAACAGGCAAAGTTTGTCGCTAGGGTGCCTTTCTGCCGTCAGTCCGTCGTCGACGCCTCCCTCCTGCGCCTGTGACGAGCCCCCCCCGCCTCTTACTTCGCGCGGCGTTTACTAGGCCTGAGTGTGTGTGGCGTGACGTCTGTTTGGAGGGGAGTATTTTGTGTGTGGGGGGGAGCGCGCGCCTGTGCTTACGCTCCGGCACTTCTGGGCGAACCGGGGCTTAGAAACTGCCACAGCCTGAACGGTTGGCCGCGGTGCGTCCGTGCGTGGTGTGTCTGTGTGTGTGTGTGTATGCTGCTGTGGCTGCTAACCGCCTCGCGCGCTATTGTTTTCCCAGCAGCTGGAACGACGGGGAATAAATGGGCCGCCTCTTTAGCGGTCGCCTCCTGCTTCCTTGCCAATGCGCCTCCGTCGGGCGTGGGCTTAAAACCGCGACAAACTCCCCCCTTCCCAGCTTTTTCAATAGTGCGGCTGAGTGAGCCCCCTCCCCCCAAACACCTGTTTTTGAACCATCACCAATTCTTTCCCCGCACGTCTGGAATTTGGACTACCTTTCTTGTCCCCGTTTATTTTTTTTTCCCTCATGGAAACCAATCCGTTTGACGAACTCTTCAGAGGTGGCATTGTACTTCCTTAAATAAGAACTTGTTTACCGTCTCATAGCTCTCCTAAAGCAGGATGTATAAAATAGCTTAACTTCGTTCAAGCAAACGGATGTCGCCATTGCATGTATGGCCTTAGTTGTACAGTACCTTAAAAAGTGTGTTCTTCAGTCAACATGTGCCTGAATTGCTGGGATCATGTAGCTTTTGTCATTTTTTTCTTAGTTTTCAAAATGTTTTTCCTCTTGTTGAGCCCCCCCCCCAAAAGAATGAAACAGCTTTTCCATCAAGCTCTTTTTGTTTCTTTAAGGAGGGCTGTCAACTGATTTAATTAGTTAAAAGCATTTTGGGCTAAATCTCAAACAGATCACGCTCAAAGAATGATTTGATAACTGCTAGGAAGGATGGGAAGGGGACAACAGAAGACGAGATGCTACCAACATGACTTTGACCCAACTCCGAGAGGCAGTGGAAGACAAGAGGGCCTGGTGTGCTGTGGTCCATGGGGTCACAAAGAGTTGGACAGGACTTAACAACTAAAAACAACAAGGAAATCTGAGTTCAAATCATCTGGCCTGTGGAAACTTGCTGGAGGGTGGCAGTCTCCTGGTAGGGTCACTAAAAATAATAGAAGTGCTTTGACAGATGATGATGATAATGATAATAATAAAAATGATAATGATAATGATAGTGTACTGTCAAATCAATTCAGATTTATGGTGACCCTTAGACAAATTAATTCAATGGATCTGTTCTAGCTGGGATTAGTGATTGGATTTAGTCCTTATACAGTGGACCCTTGACTTACAGACGGCTTGACTTACAGACTTTTTGAGTTACAGACTTCTCTGGCCGCAAAATTTAGGTTTGACTTGCAGCCTGAGACTTGACTTACAGACCAGAAAAAAACCAAAATGGAACAAAAACGGCCTGTTACGAGATTAATCGGTTTTCAATGCACTGTAGATCAATGGAGACTTGACCTACAGACTTTTTGACTTGAGAACCGCCTTCCAATACAGATTAAGTTCTCAAGTCAAAACCCCACTGTAGTACAGTGTACTCCACACTTATCTGGGAAGGCTGTCTTGAGTTCATTGGGACATACAAGCACACATACATACAATTGTGTTGTTACTTATTTAAAGGCTTAATCAATTTATTAAACCATAATTATTTCAGCCCAGGAAGATTTTGGTGGCTTATAATGAAGATGGGTAGTAACACAGAAATAAATACATTTTTTAAAATGTTTTTCTTCAGTTTGGGGATTCCTTTAGTTTAGAATAATTTCATAGAGAAAAATGAAAATGCACAGCATTGATTTACAATACAGTACCTTCATAAATGCATTAGTTTAACCCACTAGATTTCATACACAAAAGCATTGTGATCTGGTACTGTTTATGGTAATTCTAGGAAATAGAAATTAATTTTTCATCCCTTTCTTGTGTTCATGAAATATTTGAGGCATAATCTGTCCAAAGCTGAGTACTTTAAGATCCTGGTAGCTCCAGTGCAAGACAGCTGAGTCTGAACATAATTCTCCTATTGACACTAATAAAGACTAGCCAGACAGACAGATAGATAGGGAGGGCTATCTATATGAATATATATATTTAGGATACCTGTGGTCTCCAACCTTGGGCCTCCAGATGTTCTTAGACTTCAACTCCCAGAAATCCTGGCCAGCAGAGGTGGTGGTGAAGGCTTCTGGGAGTTGTAGTCCAAGAACATCTGGAGGCCCAAGGTTGGGGAGCACTCGGGATAGAGTGGAGGCTGGGTTCAAATTCCTCTTCAGCCATGGAAATTCACTGAGGCATGGATTTGGGAAAACCACTCAGATACACTACAGTATCTTATCTTGAAAGCCCTATTAGGTTTGCTACAAGTTGGCTCTGATTTGACAGCATATAACAATGTTTATTTTTCCGTATATGTACACTTACAAGATTTATTAATGTGATTACGTACAGTAGCCGGTATGTGAAATTAGAAATTTTGATTTTCCCATTAACTTGTTTTTCTTATTTAAACAGACTTCCCCATATAAAACTTTAGATCACAATGTGAGCAGCATATTCTGTTGATCCTTAGAGATTATACTGAATGTTGTTTTTATCAGTTCTTAGTTGGTTGTGTAATAAGTGTCAAAAAGAATCAGCCTAGGAACCTGACTAGTATAACACTTCAGGGCATGTGCTAAGTGTCCTTTTGTCGCCATTACCAGACCCTGCCTTTCAAAGTGGAAATAGTTTAGGGCTTTGAGGGCAAAATGGGTAGTCTCAAAAAATGATCATTTTCCACATTGAGAAATTCGCACCAACTTTTCCTCCATTTAAAAATACTGACATTACGTTGTTGTGTGACTGTACACATTTGTGCTGCTTATGTTTTCAAAATATGGATGTGTGGTTTTTAAAATCTATTACTGCCCCATGTGCATATTTAATTTTAGTAAAAAAATTGCACTAGTATTACCATCAGTATCAGGGTAGGAGGGCTTACAGAGTGTTTTAGCATAATCCCTAGGCATACTGTGTGCCACAACACAATGCATCTGTTTGTGTAGATTAGAGAAATAAAGGCATTTAGTCCTTCTGTAGTGGCCCATGCTTTCTTATTGCATCTTCCTGCAGACACTAGCAAACTTCCTGAAAAGAATACTATCTTTTGGTAGTAGATGATTGAAATATACAGTATATAGTACTAACAGATGATTGATAGTAAAGAAGGTCTTTCATATATCTTCTTGTATATCTCCTTTCAAGAAATACAAAGCAGCATTCGTGTTTTCCTGTTATATATTTGCAGCAACTCTATGAGGCTAGGAGGAAGTTCCTGTTTTGGGAGCACCTAGCAAACCTAATGGTTTAAGAGGAACGAAGATGCCTGTGTTAATTTGGCATCAGTACATCATTAAACTAATTTATGCTATCTTTAGTTAGTTACACTATTTAGCTGCAAATCTTTCTTAGGCAAGGAATGTTGTCATGTAAACAGCAAGACAGATCTGTATTCTTTTAATGGTGCATGTCCTCTTAGAGTAGCTTGCAGTACATACCAATTTAATCTTAACATCATTCAAAAATAAGAATAAGGAAAGTTGGACAATTCTCCTACAACTAGTAGAAAGGGGCTATAGATATCTTTCTGGAAGAAAATTATAGAGCCATCACAGAAAAAGCTGTTACTGTATATACTCAAGTATAACCCTAGTTTTTCAACATAATTTTTTTGCTGAAAAAGGCTTATACTCGAGTCAGTGTCAAAATTACATGTTCTCCCCTGCAGTGCGAGCGTTCTCCAGACTCCCCTGCTCATCTACGGGCGCCTGGAACCTCTGTGGGTGGTCCGATGACCTGGTTTAAGTACACTGCATTTCTGCTTCCAGGATAATCCTCTCCTCCTCCTTCTGCATATTCTATGTACCCACCTTCCTCCTCCATCCTCCGTCTCCCTCCATCTTGTTACACAGTAGTAGAGCAGTAGATCAGCACAGCATCCGGTATGAGTCCTCCCTCCGCAATTAATGTAATTTTATTGGTATCTATTTTTATTTTTGAAATTTACCAGTAGCTGCTGCATTTTCCCCCCCCGGCTTATACTAGAGTCAATAGGGGTGTGTGTGTGTGTGTGTGTGTGTGTTAAAATTGGGTGCCTCGGCTTATAGTCGGGTCGGCTTATACTCGAGTATATATGATATATTTACCAACCTATTAACCCAGTACTTGCTGTAGGAATGGAGAGTAGGGTCTCAGAAGCCAGCCTCTGGACTTTGGTCGGTTGATATAAACACTTCTAGTCCTTTAAATGAGCTGTTTACAAATTATTCAGAGTGTTAAAAACTGAAACATGCACCTTAAAGTGGACCAACAAATAGGCAGTCCATGTAGCTATTACTGTACAGATGGAATATGACCAGAGTATCTGAATCCTACAAACATCTTGTTGCTCCATTCTTCACCACTTGAAATTGCCAAACAGTTTTTAAGGATAGCACCGTACTCCCAATGTACAACCCATCGTAATAATCAGTTATGTGCCCATCAAGTTGTCTCAACTTGCGGCAACCCTATGAATGAGTGAT